TTATTGTATGAATCATACCATGTCCTCGCGTCCTTTTTTTTTTTTTTTTTTTTCTTATTTAAACCTCACTATCTAGTTCCCTTTTCATGTTTTTTTATTTTTTGATTGTTGTTGCTCTTTATTTCTTTAACTCTGAGGGTTACTTGCAAAGATATTCTAGTTAAAATTATTTTCAGTTTTTCTCATCATGTGTCCTATCTAACATCAGCATCTTTTCCTCACCTCCTGGTTCTGCTGAATCTTGTTGGCACAATAATTGTTGTTTCTTCTTCTTCTGCATTCATCCTAACTCTTTTTTTTTTTTTTTTTTTTTTTTGTAAACAGGTATTTGAAGATATATACCTGTACCAGAACCTACTGCTTCAGAAAATTATCACAATGCTTAATGTGCTGTTTGCTGTCCTGTTCACACTTGAGATGCTGTTGAAGTGGATCGGCTTAGGCTTGACCTCATATTTCACAAATGGCTGGACAGTCTTGGACTTTAGTATTGTTCTGGTAAGTGTGAGGCAGAGTGAAACCAAACCAGACATGAAATTAGAATTTACCTATATATATGTATATCTCCACCCCCCCCCCCCCCCCGACACCCTGAAACTTCCTTGCGCCCCTTAGGCGGTTCTCCCCCCCCCCCCCCCCCCCCCAAATTGGAGACCACTGCTTTAAGGGTGGTAGGCATGTTGTGGTTTACTGCGAGGCGGTCATATCTACATCTTTTGGGCCAAAATGTCAGAATTCAACAGAGCCTTAATTAGTTGACTTTTAAGACATGCTTGTTTATGGGCAGTGGGTACCTCCCTTTCCCATCTCCCCCTTTACTTCTCCTCTCCCCCCTTCCCAAATGGTGCCCTGGAATGCATATGCAGCTAGTTCTACATGTCATGGCTAAAGATAGATAACTCTGACAGACCTTGTTGCTAGTGGAGCTCTCTTGTGCCATTATTGTCATTTATAAGTTAAATGGTTTGCATTTTTCTAAATTGTAAGCTTATGCTTTTGACTAGTAATTATTGTGATCAGTAGGAAACGATATGACAAGACCTCTGATGTGATGTCTCTTCTTCCATAAAGCATGCCTTCCACTACTACGTCAACATCACACTGGCCACCTCTACTTCCTAAGACTTTACCTGGTACCTATTTAAGGCAGGGTCAACCTAGAAACCAAGTTAATGTTTTTAAAAAAATCTGCCTTAATGCTAATTTGAACCTACAACTTTCAGGCCCAACGCGAGCATCAGGCTGCTACCCCACAGCTTTGATGTGAATATGGTAACTAAAAATAGAATTTGGGAGAGAGATGGGTCTTATGATATCAGTGACTTTTTGAAAGCCAAGTTGATGTAAAACTATTGTCCATAAGCTTCAGTGACAGAGGTTACAGGGTCCTAGCATGAGTCACCAGATTATTTTTTTTAACATCTCAGAGAATGTATTCCAGTTAATTCTTCACTGTGTTTGTGTGTTTTTTAATTGTGCCTTAACATATCCTAATATGTTTCAGGCCAAAAAATTATAAGATGGATTTTAAAAAACTAAACATCATTAGTCACCTGTGTAATATAGTTTTCTTTTCAAAGGATTTTTCTTCTAGGAATAGCTACAGGCTTGAAACTTTTTTTTTAAGCATTCATGGAGCAGAAAGTTAATACCATTTAAAAAAAAATAATTTTAAGAACAAAAAAGGTGCTGGTATTCACCACAGGGTTTAACAATAACAAAGTGCCTAGAAAAGAAGGTGTCAGTACTGCGTACCATTGTGTGCCACCAGAAAAAAGCTCTGGTTAAAACTATCTAGTTAAAATACAATCTCTTGTGTAATAAAAATGAAGGACCCTTTAGGTGTATTGGGCACATAGGGCTAGACCTATATTTGTATAGACCAAATGGCACTGGTGGGTGATGTGGTCAGCATTACCCCAGCTGCTTTTACTTTCTCAGGACTGCACCTGGTACTCACTCAAGGCTGGGTCAATCTGGGAGTCAAGGTCATTTTTGAAAAAAAAAGTCCGGCTCTGTCAGGGGAAGACACAACCTTCTGATTTACTTGCGGGCATATAGCAGCCAATGCCACATGACTCCCTGTTGTGGAAAACTGATTTATATTTACGGGTGTGAATTTGGTGAAACTTCCAAGATGTGTTGTTTTACAGGTCTCAATATTGAGCTTGATTGGAGATGCTGTTGATGCCAGCCACCTTGCAGCCTTTAGATCTTTGAGGACCTTGCGTGCATTTCGACCTCTTCGAGCAGTGTCCAGGTGGCATGGAATGAAGGTAACTGAACTTACTCTAAGTTCAGTGATAGTTCTAATGTTCATAACAGTTATATTTATTGTGTTTCATTAAAACAGCGGTTCTCAACCTGCTGGTCGCAACCCTTTTTTTGGGGGGATGGGGGGGGGGTCGAACTACCCTTAAACAGGGATCACCTAAGACCATCAGAAAACACATATTCATTGAAGTTTTGAAGTTGCAACGAAAATAATTGTATGTTTGGGAGTCGCCATAACATGAGGAACTGTATAAAATAGTCGGGATATTAGGAAGGTTGATAGCCACTGCATTAAATGGATGAAAGAGTTTTAAGAGCTATACAGTGCCAATCCTGACGCATGAAAGTGAATTATGGACAGTCTTCAAATTATGTGAAAGCTGTTGAAATGGAGTTAAAATATTTTTTTGGGGGGTTTCTTTTTTAAATGAGTAGAAGTAGTAATTTTTACAAAGATATTCTGTTCAGCACTCAGGGTTATATTTGGAATATAAAGCGTTCATTGAGTTTTCAGAGTATATGTATTTTGAAAATTTTGTATATCATATAATCACTTTTTTTTCAGACATTATTGCAGTGTGTATCATTACTTGAAATATTGTCCTGTTTACACTTTCCAGATTGTGATGAGGGCAGATGAGAATACCTTGGACAGATATAAAGTTTAGAATGTCTTGAAAGAAATGTTCTCACAAAAAATAATTTCATGCCCACATCAAAAGAAGAAAACTCACACTATTTCAACTCATCATAGCAAGAGATATTGTGTTACCAGTGCCACATCTGAGCTTTAACAAAATAACAAAATGGAAATTAACAACATGTGAAATGAGATGTTTGAGAAAAGCAGTCAACATAACAAGAAGATACTATAAAAGTAACAAAGATATCATTAGAATGGTAGGAATAACATGTGTGATTAGATTTTTGTGTGTGGTAACTGACATGGTTTAGCCCCGTGGTGAGAATGAACCCAGCTTCACCGGTATCAAGAGCATGCAACCTGAGAATGGAAACATCAAGAGACAGAAGAAGGCCTAGAAGAAGATGGATAGATGGACTTAACAACTTGCTGAAACTCTACAATATCACTATGCAGCAATCTAACGAGTGCACGCTATCCCAGAAACTGATAATTAGTCATGCCTGCGACAGCGTTAAGCAGAGAAAGACAATAGGTAGGCAGATCAGAAAAGAAACTCTGGAGTATGTTGTGACAGTGGATAGAAAGAAAAGCAGCAGGAAATGAAGAAAGATTTTAGTTTGGCATCATTGCAATGTAGAACATGTGTATCAGAAATAATTGACAGTGCATACCCCCATATTCTGCTTTCTCAGCATTCCCTAGCTGTAAACTCTGGGGGAAAGTTTAGGTTGTTTGTATACTTCTGGACTTTTTTTGTTTTGTTTCAAAACCTGAGTTGTGCTTGTACATCCATTTCACAGATCTGGCTTATTTATATCCAGAATGGTTTTTTCCTCGCCTCTCAGGCATACATACTTTAAAAGAAACATGCATAAATAGTGACCTTTTATTAAATGCTTGTTGAAAGAGGGGGGGGGGAACAATGAATCTGTTCTACACCCTACCCCCCACTCTTCCCACAAAGGGGATCCTGGAACCCAGGAAGGGAATACCCACATATATAACACAAAGATCTTCAAGTATTGAGTGGTCTAGCATCAAATTCCCATTGTTATTAAAATTGTCCTTTGTTTTACTTCCTTAATAGTATATTCTTGAGTATTCCTTGTTCTTTGTTTTACATGTTTACTAGAATATTCCTGAGTATTCATTGTTCTTTTCTTTTTCTTGTATAAAATTATATTCATGGCTCTTTGTTGTTCTTTATTTTCTTGTTCAAAAGAATATATATAAGTATTCCTTGTTCTTTACAAGTTTAAAAGAATATTCATTAGTATTGCTCATTCTTTACTTTTTGTTTTGTCTAATAGTATATTTGTGTGTATTCCTTGCTCTTTACTCTACATGTTTAAAAGTATACTCATGTTTATTCCTTGTTCTTTACTTATCATGTTTAAAAGTATACTCATGTGTATTCCTTATTCTTTACTCTACATGTTTAAAAGTATACTCATGTGTATTCCTTATTCTTTACTCTGCATGTTTAAAAGTATACTCATGTGTATTCCTTGTTCTTTACTCTACATGTTTAAAAGTATACTCATGTGTATTCCTTATTCTTTACTCTACATGTTTAAAAGTATACTCATGTGTATTCCTTGTTCTTTACTCTACATGTTTAAAAGTAAACTCATGTGTATTCCTTGTTCTTTACTCTACATGTTTAAAAGTATACTCATGTGTATTCCTTGTTCTTTACTCTACATGTTTAAAAGTATACTCATGTGTATTCCTTGTTCTTTACTCTACATGTTTAAAAGTATACTCATGTGTATTCCTTGTTCTTTACTCTACATGTTTAAAAGTATACTCATGTGTATTCCTTGTTCTTTACTTGTCATGGTAAAAATCATATTCGTGGGTATTCCTTGCTCTTTACTTTACTTTTGCAGTTACTGGTTCCATCGGAATTGGAACGCTTAGCTTGCTGCTGACGATGGGGACAGAGCACTTATGGGAGTGTCCTGAGTGCTGTGATGTCGATTCTTGATTCAACATTCTACTTTACTTTCTTTTACTAATTAGTTATAAAAACATATTAATAAGCAAAATTATTATTCATTCTTTTCTCACTCCGCAGATTGTTGTCAATGCCCTAGTCAATGCCATTCCAGCTATTATGAATGTGTTTCTGGTCTGCATGGTGTTTTGGCTCATATTTAGCATCATGGGTGTGCAGTTTTTCAAGGGCCGTTTCTACAGGTGTCTCGAAATTCAATCAGGCCACCAGTTTGAATACAAGGAGGTAGCCAACAAGACTGCCTGCCTGGATAGGAATGCCACCTGGCAGAATTTGAACATTAATTTTGATAGCACGGCAAATGGTTTTCTTGCCTTATTTCAAGTGGTGAGTGTTTTCTTACTTTAGTATTAGTATATTCGTGGCTTTTTTTTCTGGTGGTATGCAACGATATGCAGTACTAGGCATCTCGGGTTTTTTTCAGCACTACTGTAATAGACACTTTGTGGTGAGTACTGGCACCTGTTTTGTCCAAAACAAATCCATGAATATATTTATACTGTGATTTGTTTTGCTAGGTTGTTTTTATAGTCTATTTACCTTAATATCAGTCTGTACATACTTTCAAATCAATCTTTTTTATTCTACACATTGCTCATCTTTGTAAGTCTGCAGTCTACTTTTCTTCACTTTCATTTCAGCCTGCTTATTCTTTCTGTTGTTCCACCTTGCAAGTCTAAACCCTTTCCTGTTTGTAACATGTTGTTTATCTTTGTAAATTTTACAGTCTTCTTACTTTCATATTAGTCTGTCTAAATTATACTTTGTTCTACTTTTGTAACTTAAGAGCTCTACTTACTTTTTTTATTAGTCTGTCTAAACTATATATTGTTCTTCTTGGTAACTTAACAGTTCCACTTACTACCATAGGTAACACTCTGGGGTAAATGGAGGAACGTCGCTGTAGTTACGGAGTTGCGTGCAGGCGGCGACACAGGCGGACAGTTTCTTATCAGCTGTCCATACTGGTGGCAGAGCACTTATGTGCAGAGACGCTGATTCACATTTCCCGACTTTACTTTTTTTTTCTTTGTTCTACTTACTTTCAGTTTAGTCTGTCTATACTATGTATTACAATGGTCCTAGACTTCCATGCTCTGGTTGTGGAAAACTTTCTTTCAAGACAGTGATTCTTGCTTGTGACACTTGCCATTGCCAGGGCTGGGTCTCCTGTGCCTCCATATAACATAATTTAATATTATCATCTAGAAAGATGGAAAGGTGCCAGTGATTACTGTGTGTGGTTTTCTTTGTAATTTATGAACTCTTTCCGCTGACTTTAAACATAGACATGTTTGTGTCTGTCTTCTCTCTCTCTCTCCCCCTCTCGCTCTCTTTCTCTCTCTCTCTGTCTCTCTCTCTTTTTATATTATATATATATATATATATATATATATATATATATATATATATATATATATATATATATATATATATATATATATATATATATATATATATATATATATATATATAGAGAGAGAGAGAGAGAGAGAGATACATACACACATACATATGAATGCTCACGCTCACACACAGAATGCAGTTTCAGATCATATCTGTTTTGTACAAGGAAACAAAGTTTGGGGATGCTTTTTAATATCCTACTCCAAACAGGGGTAATCCACAGGTCACGGGACAGTCTAATATTTCAGGGGGTGGTAGATAGGCTGCATTCAGTGGTGGGACCTATACTGCATGCAGTCATGGAACCTAGGTTGCACTCTCTTGTGGGACGTAGGAGGGTTGGAGTTAGGGCCAGTTCTAGATGTTTTGGGGTTGTTAAAAACATTAGAAAGCCTCGGAAACCTAGTCTTACCAACCTCTAAAATGTTGGACTGTCCTGTGAGGTCATCTTGGGTAGGATATTAACAAAGAACTGTAAGATATTTTTTCTGTCAACAGGCAACTTTTGAGGGCTGGATGGAAATTATGCAGGCTGCTTCGGATTCCACTGATGTAAGTTCTAGTACTTAAATCAGTTACGCTCTTGCCATTGTAGATGCCTTTGAAATAGGTCCATGTGCTTGAATCCATTATATTCTTGCCGTCATAGATCCGACTGAAATAAGTCTGCATACTTCCATCCATTATGCTCTTGCTTTTGTAGACCAACTGTAATGAGTCCACATACTTCAATCCATTATGTTTTTGCTTTTGTAGATCCAGCTGAAATGAGTCCACATACATCAGTCCATTGTTTTTGCTTTTGTAGATCCAGCTGAAATGAGCCACATACTTCAATCCATTGTTTTTGCTTTTGTAGATCCAGCTGAAATGAGCCACATACTTCAATCCATTGTTTTTGCTTTTGTATATCCAGCTGAAATGAGTCCACATACTTCAGTCCATTATGTTCTTGCTTTTGTAGATCCAGCTGAAATGAGTCCACATACTTCAATCCATTGTTTTTGCTTTTGTAGATCCAGCTGAAATGAGTCCACATACTTCAGTCCATTATGTTCTTGCTTTTGAAGATCCAATTGAAATGAGTCCACATATTTCAATCCATTGTGTTCTTGCTTTTATAGATGCCCCTGAAATAAGTCCATATTATGCTATTGTTGTTGTGGATCCCACTGAAATAAGTCCATGTACTTTCATCCATTATGTTCTTGCTGCTTTAGTGTCTTTGTTTGCCAGTCTTCTTGGTGTCTGAGCAGTTCGGTTACTAGGCTTAGATAACATAAGCCAAGTTCCTCCCCTCCTCCCCCTCCCCCCTCCCTTCACCCACATTTCAGTATTTATCTCCTGCTTTCACCCTTAAAAGAGCAGTTGGCATATTATGGTTTGGTTTATAAATACAATATGGCTCAACACATTGTGGTTTGGTTTACAAATAGAGTATGTATCTGTTGGTGCAACACATTCAGTTTCAGTAAATTCTCAGTTAGTCAACTTACACGGCATGCTTGCTAATGCCCAGTCTGTTATCCCCCTCACTATCCCCTCAGTCGCACCATAAGGCTTTTACACCATTAAACCCACACAGAGAAAACAGGGTGTATAAAACCCCACTGTCTTCTAGTTTTAGATACCCCTGCCTGCAATTCACCATTGACAATGATGAGTCTTGATTCTGCCCCTAATAATTGTAACTTCTATTCAATCAATCAGGTACCCTCTCCACAGCGAAGGTAGGCTGTGGTGGATCTCCGGAATAGTGTGTCTTTTGCCCTGGATGTACACTCTCTCAGGCTGCTGTGTGTCCATCCTCTGACATGTATTGCTGTCTGCATTTTGCTCACTTTTCTGCTCCATCGTTTTTATCAGAAATGTCTTTTAATATAACCAAAATGCTTCACTTGCCTCTTTTCTTTTTCCTTCAATAACTCTCTCTCTCTCTCTCTCTCTCTCTCTCTCTCTCTCTCTCTCTCTCTCTCTCTCTCTCTCTCTCTCTCTCTCTCTCTCTCTCTCTCTCTCTCTCTCTCTCTCTCTTCCCCCCTCTCTCTCTCTCTTTTTCAAAAGATCATGGAGGGTCAAGCCAGGACATTATTCATCAGGAGTTTTTATTTGAGGACATAGTACCTGGCAGGAGGGGGGTACAAGTGTCAACAGAGTGCTTTACTACCTTTTCTGTTTGCATCCGACTAGACAGCAAATGCAGATATCAAAGTTCAGCCATTGTGGAGGCAGAAATTCAGGCCTTGATTTTCCAGAATTCTTTAGAGAGGGATATGTCATTTATACGGATGGGTCTGTTTTCGCCACATGAGAAGCTTGTCGGCTTTTACGCTCCCTTTGGAGAGAGGGTTATAAATCAAGATTCTAGTGTCTTTGCTTTGACTACAAGAAGTCTGACTGTGAAGACCAAGATAGTGACCAAAGGAGTAATGTAGAATTAATGACAAAGCTGGAGATACAGACTTTTATCTGTGCATGCTTTCTCAGTGACTAAGGAAGATAGAGATGGGGCTGGGTCTGAAGTCAGTGATTGGTGTCTCTAATGCAGCCAGGTCTGAAAAGGTCAGTTTCATTTTTGTGCCAGGGCATGCAGGCTTGCATGAAAATGAGCTAGCTGGTAGGCATGCAGGTAAGACTACTGTTGAGGGTGGACAAGCCAGGGACCAAGCTGATATACTGAATATAGATGTAAGACATTTGTGAGAACAGAGCGACTGTAAATCTGCAACCATGAACAGACTGCACCAGCAGCAGCTTAAAGGAGGAAAAGAGATGTGGCCAGACAAGAGCACTATGCGTGAAGCCAAAGAAGGGGTAAGGAATAATTTGGCTGGTGAAAAAAAAGCTAACTTTAGTTTATTCTTACATTGTCTAGTGGCTCTCTTGCAGAATCCTCAGGTCAAGGGTGGCTGTGGTATAGTGGTGAAGCTGTTCCTTTTGCAGGCTGAAGTCTGTTGGTTCATTTATTATTTATCTTGGTGGGTTCTGGGGCTCCATGGGGGGGGGGGGGGGGGGGGGGGGCAGTAGACTCCTTCTCCCCCCAATTAGCTAGTCATAAAAGGTAACTAATTAGTGCAGTTTGCTACTAAGTTGGAGTGCATCTGCCTGAGAGCAAGAAACCAACAGTCTGCACAAAATAATCCAGATCTGTAAAACAATGTGCATGCAAAACTCAAGTTCAGGAACAAGACCAAAGTCTAGAAGTAGATGAACAACCAGAACTTTCTGCTGTAGTTTTCAGCCAGTGAATGCTAAGAAGAAGAAGAAGATTTATTATTGACTACATAGTTCCAAGGGATTGTTGCTGGAGACATGGATGTTGTGCTTTGTGCGACACTGTCAGCATCAGCTAGCCATTGTGCTGAGAGAGCTTGATGCAGTGAAGCTGATGCTCTGATCTTTAACCTTTTAAATCCCCAGGTTGACAAGCAGCCACAGTTTGAAGCGACTATGAATGCCTATCTGTATTTTGTTGTCTTCATTGTTATTGGGTCATTCTTCTCCCTGAACCTCTTCATTGGAGTCATCATTGATAATTTCAATGTCCTCAAAAAGAAGGTAGATGTTTTAACTGTTGTGTAATGTATATGTGTCTGTGGAGTCATCATTGATAATTTCAATGTCCTCAAAAAGAAGGTAGATGTTTTAACTGTTGTGTAATGTATATGTGTCTGTGGAGTCATCATTGATAATTTCAATGTCCTCAAAAAGAAGGTAGATGTTTTAACTGTTGTGTAATGTATATGTGTCTGTGGAGTCATCATTGATAATTTCAATGTCTTCAAAAAAAAAGGTAGATGTTTTAACTGTTGTGTAATGTATATGTGTCTGTGGAGGAGTGTGGGAATAATGATGTTGGGTTTGGGGTAGGTTTTCTAATTTTGAGATTTAGTCCATCCAGTGACTTAGTTTGGTCTGATCTTTTCTGTTCCAACTGCAAGACAAAGTTTCAACCAGATTTATTAAGAATTTCTTCTTCTTCTTCCTCCTCCTGCTCTTTTTCTTCTTCTCCTTCTACTGCTTCTCCTCCTCCTCCCTCTTCTTCTTTCTCATCATTTTCTTTTGCTTCTTTTCCTCCTTTTTCTTCTTCTTCTTCTTCTTCTTCTTCTTTTTCTTCTTCTTCTTCTTCTTCTTATTCTTCTTCTTCTTCTTCTTCTTCTTCTTCTTCTTCTTCTTCTTCTTCTTCTTCTTCTTCTTCTTCTTCTTCTTCTTCTTCTTCTTCTTCTTCTTCTTCAACTCCTCCTCCTTCTTTTTCTCCTACTTCTCTTTCTCTGCCTTCTCTTTCTCCTTCATCTTACTTTTCTTTGTCATCTTCTTTGTGGTCACCAGCTGTAAACTCCAGCAGAAAGTTCCAATTGTTCATCCAGTTCTGAATTTTGGTCTTATGACTGACTGACTTTCTACTCCACCAGGACATCACACAAGCGATAAACACCCGATGACACAAAGGGCCACCATGCGGATGAGGGTCGCCGTGGAGAGGTCCCAGAAACCGCGTTCAGACATTTGGCCATATTTATGGCCTGCCTATATTGCGGCCCCTGGCAAAAAGCCAGGGTGAAGCTTCAAATAAAAAATTCCATCCTGAGAAGGACGATAGAGAATGCATAACAATTTTGATCTTATTCCAGAACTTGAGTTTTGCATGCACATCCATTTTACTGATGTGGCTTACCTTTATTTGCATGCTGACTGTTTGTATCTCACCTCTCAGACAGATGCTCTCCAGCTTCTAAGGAAAAACCCCTAATAGGCCTCCTTTTATGACATGCTTGTTAGGGAGGCCAGTGGGGGTATTCTTGTATCCCAACAATTGGGTCCTGGAACACACACAGGGAATTCTTGAGTATCAGTCTGTGCTGAAACCGATTGTTGTCATTGACATAGAGCTTTCAGGTGGATATGGCCCCTCGAATGAGTGCCATGAAATGTCCTGGGAAGTAAAGGCAACTAGTTTTATGTTTACCACATCCCCCCAACAAGCACCGATTGGTCAACCAAATGATGGATCAGGCCAGGGCTTTCTTCTGGTACTCATCAAACAATCTTTGAAAATGTGTCAGTACTCATCATAAAGTATCTATTGCAGGAGCACTGAAACAAATTATGTCTGTAAAAGGTGCCGGTACTGCATACTGATGTGTACCACCCGAAGGGGTAAAAAAACCTGGATCTGACACAATTTGCCAGCTGTGACACAACTTTTACTTTTTTTTTAAAAACTAGTATATTCATTAAATGCAAAGTGGCTAAAGAAGCCTGGCTGAATCAAATGTGTACAGAGATTGGGAAAAATCACAGGAAAGACTCACATTCCATGTACCAACAGGTAAAAATGTTAACAGGAAAGATGACACGTAACAGCACTGGATGTTTAAAATCAAAAGATGGTGACTTATTAATGGGACATAGTAATATAATTAACAGATGGACAGAGTATACAGGGGAATTGTATGATGATAATAGACCAGATGTAGAACTGCAGACCAACAATGATGGTCCACCAATAATGACTGCAGAAGTTGAGGATGCAATACATCATATGAAGAAAGGAAAAGCACCCAGGCTAGACAACATATCATTGGAAGAAATCGAAGCACTGGAAAATTTTGGAATTGAAATAATAACTAAATTTTTAAATGATATTTATAATACTGGGTATATTTCAAATCACCTTTTAAAATCCATATTTATAGCTCTGCCAAAGAAACCAGGCACTTTAAAATGTGAAGACAATCGCACAATAAGTCTTATGACTCACATGACTAAGATTTTACTGAGAATAATTATGAGAAGAATAAGAAACAAAATTAAACCAGAAATCAGCGATGAACAATGTAGATTTGTAGAAGGAAAAGGCACAAACAATGCTATATACATCCTAAGGACATTGTCAGAAAGAGCTATAGAAGTAAAGACTGATTTGTACTTATGCTTCATAGACTATACAAAAGCATTTGACTGTGTGAAGCATGAAGAAGTAATCAAACTGTTAGAAAAATTAAACATTGATGGGAAAGATCTACGAATAATAAAAAATATTTATTGGCAGCAAACAACAGCTATAAGAATTAACAACTGTTTTGGTACATTTCAAAGCATAAAGAGGGGCGTACAACAAGTATGTGTACTTTCACCTGATTTGTTTCCAAATACAGTGAATATATAATGAGATCTTTAATTGATATGCCCGGAATTGTGGTTGGTGGGCGCAATATAAACAATTTACGTTATGCTGATGACACAGTCTTAATAGCAACAAGTCAGAAAAAATTACAGGAAATGATAGACATTGTGGTGTTAGAAAGTGGAAGAATGGGCCTCAGTTTGAATAATGGGAAGACAGAAGTAATGGTGGTATCAAAGAAAAAAAAAGTGTAATAAAAGTTGATGGTGTTATTTTAGGACAAGTACAGAAATTTAAGTATCTGGGCAAATGGATAACATCAGATGGAAGATGCATAACTGAAATAAGAAACAGAATTGGACAGGCAAAAACTGCATTTTATAAAATGAAAAACATCTTGTGCAATATATCCTTGTCACTGAGAGTTAGAAAAAGAATTCTTGCTTGCTACATACAGCCAGTTTTAACATATGGCCGTGAATCCTGGACAATCGGTAGGCAGGCCAAACAATTTCTAGAGGCCTCAGAGATGTGGTTTTACAGAAGAATGCTTAGAATACCGTGGACAGCCAAAAAGAGCAACCAAGAGGTTTTGAAAGAGGCGGGAGCCCGAAGACAACTTATCACAGACATTAGAAGGAGACAGTCATCATTTTTCGGCCATGTTATGAGAAGAGGGAAAATAGAACATGTTGTGACCACTGGAAAGATCTGTGGAAGGAGGAAGAAAACGAGAGAAGATGCTTGACAGTCTTGTTGCATGGCATGAAGGTGTGTCGGCACACAAACTGATACATGCTGCAGGATATCGCAGATTATGGAGAGGCATGATCGCCCACACCAGTCGGCAAGGCACCTGATGATGATGATATTCATTAAAGACATGGAACAGAAGTAAAGGCATTCAGAAACAAATGCTTAGGGAAAATTAGCAACATCAGATCATTTTAATTCAAGAAAGACAAAGAAATGAGAGAAGTGTCTCAACAACCACTGGTATCAACAGTTTTAATACTAAGAAAGCATCTTCAGAAGAAGCAGACAATCAGCAGGCAGGCATTTAGCAGGCAGGCATTTAAATGGGAAACAAATGGCTAGGGAAAGGTAGGGGGGGGGGGGGGGGGGTCTAAAAGAAATCCTGAAATTAATGTTAATGAGAGAGGCCAAAGGTGCTGGATTGGATTCAATCTTTGATAATGAAATAGTTGCACATGATAAATGGAATAGAAGAATAAACTGTGTGTCCTATGTAAGAAATATCATACACAACAAGATAATGGCAATGATCTTCCTCTTCTTCCTTAGTCAATATCTGCTTATGAGCTAGGGGTCGTAGTTCATCAGACGATCGGCCGAGCCAGGGCGCACTCAGTCGCTTGATGTGCCATGATGTTATGCAGTCTCAAGGTGTCAGTGACTCCTTCAGTCTGCATTCTTCTCGGTCTTCCCCTGCCTCTTGGTGTTTCAGTTTTCAGGTTGTACGCTCTTGCTGCTGGCAATGATGTTCATTATTATTCTTTATACATTTGTTAACTTCCTAGGGGCCCCATTTTATAGGAAGAAAGAATAGAACTATTACCCCACTAATAAGCAAGTCTTAACTTCTTCAGTTCCAAAAAGTTTTACATGGAATAACAAAATAAAGAAAAACTTATGAAAAATTGTGAATGCATTACTTTAACTCTTTGAGTCCCAGGGGGTTTATCATCACAGGCCCAAGGGGTAGTCAAGAGAGGCATAAAATCAGCGCATCATGCGTTCATTGGGCCTCTAGGTAGGAATCTATGAAAGTATGATGCGTTCCTCCCCATCAACCATGTTGTAAGCGTCGACTAACATGGGGTTTGCTTCAAAATTGGAGTGCATTTGCCCGAGAGGCAAGGAACCAACAGTCTGTATACAAATACATCAGGTCTGTAAAATAGATGTGCATGCAACACTCAGGTTCTGGAACAAGTGTAAAGTCCAGAAGTGGCTGAACAACCAGAACTTTCTGCCAGAGTTTACATCCGCTAAATGCGAAGAAGAAGAAGAAAGTGGTAATATGCGCAGAGGTATGACCAGTGAGGAAGTCAGATTTCTTTAGTATAAAGAAAAAATATGAAAAAGTAAGGAAACACATCATGCTATGTGGGGAAATCATTAGGTAGATTCACTACCAGATGAGGCATTGCTTGGAACCGAAAGAGTTTACATGTGACTAACCAAGGGCTAGCTGAAATTGGATGTGTGTGTATATGTATGTATGTATGTGTATCTGTCTGTCTGTCTGCCTGTCTGCCTGTCTGTCTGTCTGTCTGTCTGTCTGTCTGTCTGTCTGTCTGTCTGTCTGTCTGTCTGTCTGTCTGTCTCTATATGTATGGAGGTGTGTATGTATGTGTGGGTAAGTTAGTGAGTGAGTGGGTGGACATGTGGGTGTGCATGCACAAGTTTGCGCATGCATTTTATCACCTATTCTTTTGTGTTTTTTCTTGATATTCATAATATGAATATTATTATATGAATATAGCCTGCTTTATTGATAAAATACAACTGCTGTGTAAAAGATGGGTGTTTGGAAGGCCTGAATGTAAGAAAGGCCTGGGTGCCTAATTTGTAACCCTTTGAAAATAAAGTTCTTTCATTCGTGGATGTCTTGGCCTAGCTGTAAACGACATCACAGCATACCAGCTGCCCTTTTAAAGGTGACTACAGAAGAACAAGAAATGAATTTATTAATATTCTCAATCCCATTGTCTGCAGTATGAGGGCAACTACCTCGATGCTTTCTTAACCCAAAACCAGAGGAATTACTACAACATATTGAAGAAGGCAGGGACACGAAAGCCGAAGAAGACTGTCAAGAGACCGCAGGTTGGTTTAGACTTGTACATTAATATATTTTAAAAAAAGATTAAAGTAAAGTCAGGAGATGTGAACCAGCGTCATTGCACACGGTTATAAACCATTAGTGCTCTGCCACCAGTACGGACAGCTGATAAGAATTGTCCGCCTGTGTCGCCGTTCGCACGTTACTCTGTATCTACAGCGATGTTCCTCCATTTACCCCAGAGTGTCAACCGGTTTCGAACACCGACCGTGGGCTGCAGACAGTCGCAGCTGGATTTGAATTAATATATGATCACCTTCATGGTGGAGTGGTTAAATTGCTTGCTTCTGACCTTCAGGTTGTAAGATCAGGTGTCTCATAGATCCCTAGGAGTCATTACTGTAGTTTTAAAGTTTGTGCTTTGTGCAGTGCTGCCAGTGACCAACTTTCTGCAGAGAGAGACCGAGCCATTAGGATGAATTTGTGTTAAGAGAGAGAGAGAGAAAGAGAGAAAAAGAGCGAGTCTGAGGCATTAATATGAATTTGTATTCTTCCATTTAGTCATCTAAAAGTCAGAGTGGCATAGTGACTTCTGTGCTTGCCAAATGGTAACATGTTTAAAGCCTCATCCTGTCATGGAGATTTGTCTTATAACTGGCATGTGCTTTCAGGCTTATATAACTGGCATGTGCTTTCAGGCTTATATAACTGGCATGTGCTTTCAGGCTTATATGACTGGCATGTGCTTTCAGGCTTATATAACTGGCATGTGCTTTCAGGCAACCCATCTTCAAATGGGAACCATGCAGTTTTTTTTAAAGTAAATTCATTTGACATAAAGTTGACAAAATCACCTGTTAAGTGTTGTTAGATGTATAAAAACTATAGGGCTAGTACCATATACTCAAAATGGCTCACAGTGTAAAATGGGTTTTCTTTGACTTGACCTTTCCCTGTAATCTGGCCAACACTTGCCACTCGAACAAAAGGCAAAATGAACATACAGTAAAAGTGCTACTGGTAACACTGGAATTCCAACTTTGCACGGGCTGCTGAAGATGACGAGCTACCACTGGTTTCAGTTCCAGAGTGCTGTGATGTTGATTCCTAATACAGCTCAGCTTTACCTGTGTAGATTTGAGGCATCTGTGAATGTCAACCAAATCACATCAGAGCTGTCTATGAGATCTTTCCAAGGATGAAATGAAGACACAAACAATTCTGTTTCAGCTGCACAGCATATATTAGAGCGCTAGAACAGGCTGCCAGAATGATACCACAACACTGCCAAATCAGGAGAGGGATATATATCATGAGGTAGACCATGAATAACAAAGGAAGATAACATCAGAGTAAACTCTACAATAGTATGATGTGCGTAGGCAGTTGGAACCTTATATCTTCCTCGACACCCAAAGCAGTTAAAGAGGAAATGAAAAAGAAGAAGAAAAACCATGATTGCCAGCACGTATCAGCTGGGTACATGAAGAAGATGATGATGATGAGGTAGAATACTATTCCTTTAAACAGCCTGCCTTGAAATTTAGAAGCTGTAATAGTGTAGTCCTTGACATCTTCTTGTTCTTTTTCTAGTCTTGTTCTGCCTTTCCTCTTTCTTGGTGTTGTCATTTCTGATTCTGTCTCTTGTAGTTACATTTAGGATTCATCATAGACATTTCATTTCTCTTTTTTTTCCTTATGTTGTTGTCCCCATTTGGCACTGTGTAACACAACTCAGCACCTGAAGAGATAAAAGGAGAAGGGAGAATTGTAAAAATGAAGAAGATAGCGTAGTGCCTAGACCATAGATGTTCAATTAAGTTTACACAATTTTGAAAATGAGGATTGTCATGGACCAGAAACCCAACCCCCAGCATAGAAAGATCATTAGTACAATACAGCTGGCAATGATCCTTAAATTACTTGCTAGGCCTCCGCAAGCCAACTATGGCCCGCAGGCCACAGGTGGAGTAGCCCTGGCCCATATGCCCACCTGCTGGCCCAAAGGTTTAGAATTCAGATCTGCATTGAGGCAGATTATACTCAAATTGGCATCATCTTCCAGGTCAATCAAGTCTAAAATGGAAACCAAGTGAGGTCTGGGAAAATAAAGGCAGATGCTGGGAGACTGACCATATCACCTTTTGGCTGCTGATTGAGAAAAATATCGGTCAAGTAAAATAGGATCTCGCGGTGGCCATTACTTGGGCGTTGCAAGTCTGACTCGCAATTCCAATGTGCTGCAATCGAAACCCACTGCTGGCTGCGTAGATTTTTATCATGGTATGGGGAGTCGCAGGTCGACCCAGCCTAAAATGGGTACCAGGATGGATGTCCTGGGGAAGTAAAGACGGCCAGCGTAATGCTGTTTACATTACCCACCTAGTGCCAATTGATCTATAAAAAAATGGGTGCTCTTCTCTTATGCCCAATGCGCCTAAAGGCATGAAAAGGAAATCTTTACTTCTACTTACTATAGGATCTCAGTCTTCTATGTCATGACTTTAGGCAGCTTCATAACTGTCGCAGACCCCAATCTAACCTTACACTTGAATGGTTTTTCTGGGAACTGTACATGGGAATTCTTATTTTTATGACAAGAAAGTGAAGTATAGACTGTATGGTCTCCTCCCCAGAACAAATTCCTCCTGCTCTTCTATGACTTGGCTGTCAGCAGCAGGTTTGAAATGGCCATTGTCCTGCTGGTCTTTCTGAACCTGGTCATCAATGCCGTTTACCATTACAACGAGACTCAAGCCGTGACTGAGTTCCTGGACATGATGAATATTCTGTTCGTAACTGTGTTCACACTCGAGATGACTGTGAAGATCATTGGACTGCGGATCCATTTTTTCCGCTTTTCCTTGCATGTTTTTGATTTGATTGTTGTTGTATTGTCAATACTTGGTAAGTAAATTAAACTTTCTTAGACATCTTTAGTTAGCACTCATCATCATCATCTCATTGTGATTTTCTGGTACCTTGCGGTGCCGAGGTGAAGTATAATTTAAGGTGCCAGTCTGTGTGCTTGGTAAATGGGAATTCCCAGGGACTGTGTTGTTGCCTCTGTCCATCGTTTGCATGGCCGGCCTCTTCTTCGCTTTACGCCTGTCTGTACGACATTTTTTGCTGTGGTATACTGTTAGCCGATATCCACATTATATGGCCAAACCATATCACCTGTTGTCGTCTAATGAAATCCAGAGCTGCCGCTACCCTCCTTCTCCTTCGGATTTCATTTTTCCCGATCTTATTGGCATACTGAGAGCCCTTCTAGGGAAACTCATTTCAGTTGTTGTAATTTTTGTTTTCTGTTTCTCTGACTGTCCAGGTCTGACATTGGAAGCACACATTTGGCAAGAAGAATGTGTCATAGAGTGCTTTTTTTTTTTGGTTTCTCTGGACACATGTTTGTTTCTTAGTATTTGTGCATGTTTATACTTTGTTCTGTTTCTTTGAGCAGCGAAATCTATCCCCCTGCCAACTTGCTGGGCAGAAAAAAAAAACTGACCTAAGCGAGCCAGAATTAACACTGACACTCGTTTTTGTATTTTATCAGTACAGATGTTACAGCTGCATTAGATAACTGATTTTGTTGGATGGAAGAGTGAGTACCAAGGTGAACACATATGCAGCAAGGAAAACAGAGCCAGATGCTAGCAGTCTTCTTCTTCTTCTTCCACCCTTGATTCCCCAGTTGAACTCAGGTCCTAGGTCAACTTCTGAAAGATCATCTTCTCCTTTGCCATAATGCCGCTCATCCCCCTCCCTTCCACATCCTCTTGTCCGCATTCTCTGTCTTTTTCTGCAATAAGTCTTAAAAGGGCAGTTGGCACGTTATGTTGTGGTTTTTAACTAGGCTGTGATATCTGTGCCTTCTAGCTCAACAGATATGACTTCAGCAAATTCTTAATTAGTAGCCTTCTATTACCTGCTTGTGGAGGTGGGGGGGGGGGGGGAGAGGCAGTGAGTCTGTCTCCCACCCAAACAGGCCCCACAGAACCCATGTGTGTGTGGTGGGGGGAGGAGGACGGTTCTAATTTGAACCTGAGTTCCAGTATGAGGCATTCTAGACATGTGGTAGTCAGGTTTTCTCAGTGAATGTTTTAACCAATGCCAGTATCTTTTCCTCACCTCCTAATTCCAACTTACTTAGCTGTCACCATTACTATATAAACACTTGTCATTGAATATTTTTTTAATGTGTGTACTCTGTTTTGGGGTCTAACTCCTGGATTATAATATATCCTTTCAGGCATATTTTTAATGATTGCACTTTTCAGTTGTAAAAATGTACTGCTATTAGTCGAACATGGTGTCATAAATGATTGTGTGGTGTGTTTGCTCTACATCAGTATAGTTGGAACAGAATTCCACACTGGAATTTAATGGGCTGTTGAAAGGTCAAGAGAGGTCAATGTGTTTTTTTCTGACATGCCATGAGAATGAATGGACTATAACTCTTGGTGACAACTGGCAAGAGTGGTGAAAAGAGCAAGGGGAAGGCAGAGGAATAAATACCTGGATGACTTAGCCATAGGGGTTATAGGTGGGGAACAACAAGAACACTCACATCAGTGGTTCTAGTGATTGTACGAAATGGAGGACAACAAGAACACTCACATCAGTGGTTCTGGTGATTGTGTGAGATCAAATACAACAAGAACACTCACATCAGTGGTTCTAGTGATTGTGTGAGATCAAATACAACAAGAACACTCACATCAGTGGTTCTAGTGATTGTGTGAGATCAAATACAACAAGAACACTCACATCAGTGGTTCTGGTGATTGTGTGAGATCAAATACAACAAGAACACTCACATCAGTGGTTCTAGTGATTGTGTGAGATGGAGGACAACAAGAACACTCACATCAGTGGTTCTAATGATTGTGTGAGATGGAGGACAACAAGAACACTCACATCAGTGGTTCTAGTGATTGTACGAAATGGAGGACAACAAGAACACTCACATCACTAGTTCTGGTGATTGTGTGAGATCAAATACAACAAGAACACTCACATCAATGGTTCTAGTGATCATGTGAGATGGAGGACAACAAGAACACTCACATCAATGGTTCTAGTGATCATGTGAGATGGAGGACAACAAGAACACTCACATCAATGGTTCTAGTGATCATGTGAGATGGAGGACAACAAGAACACTCACATCAGTGGTTCTGGTGATCGTGTGAGATGAAGGACAACAAGAACACTCACATCAGTGGTTCTGGTGATCGTGTGAGATGAAGGACAACAAGAACACTCACATCAGTGGTTCTGGTGATCATGTGAGATGGAGGACAACAAGAACACTCACATCAGTGGTTCTGGTGATCGTGTGAGATGAAGGACAACAAGAACACTCACATCAGTGGTTCTGGTGATTGTGTGAGATGGAGGACAACAAGAACACTCACATCAGTGGTTGTGGTGATCATGTGAGATGGAGGACAACAAGAACACTCACATCAGTGGTTCTGGTGATCGTGTGAGATGGAGGACAACAAGAACACTCACATCAATGGTTCTAGTGATCATGTGAGATGGAGGACAACAAGAACACACATCAGTGGTTCTGGTGATCATGTGAGATGGAGGACAACAAGAACACACATCAGTGGTTGTGGTGATCATGTGAGATGGAGGACAACAAGAACACTCACATCAGTGGTTCTGGTGATCGTGTGAGATGGAGGACAACAAGAACACTCACATCAATGGTTCTAGTGATCATGTGAGATGGAGGACAACAAGAACACACATCAGTGGTTCTGGTGATCGTGTGAGATGGAGGACAACAAGAACACTCACATCAGTGGTTCTAGTGATCATGTAAGATGGAGGACAAGAACACTCTTCTCTGTGGTTCTGGTGATCGTGTGAGATGGAGAACAAGAACACTCACATCAGTGGTTCTGGTGATCGTGTGAGATAGCGAACAACATGAACAGTCACATCAGTAGTTCTGGTGATCTGTGAGATGGAGGACAACAAGAACACTCACATCAGTGGTTCTAGTGATCAAGTGAGATGGAGGACAAGAACACTCTCATCTGTGGTTCTGATGATCGTCTGAGATGGAGAACAAGAACACTCATATCAGTGGTTCTAGTGATAATGTGAGATGGAGGACAAGAACACAACATGAACAGTCTTATCAGTGGTTCTGATGATCGTCTGAGATGGAGAACAAGAACACTCATATCAGTGGTTCTAGTGATAATGTGAGATGGAGGACAAGAACACAACATGAACAGTCTTATCAGTGGTTCTGATGATCGTCTGAGATGGAGAACAAGAACACTCATATCAGTGGTTCTAGTGATAATGTGAGATGGAGGACAAGAACACAACATGAACAGTCTTATCAGTGGTTCTGATGATCGTCTGAGATGGAGAACAAGAACACTCATATCAGTGGTTCTAGTGATAATGTGAGATGGGAAAACAGCAAGAACCATGTTTTTTTTTTATTACACCAGCTAATTTAAAAAAACTTTAAAAAATATGTCTTATAAATATATGGATAATGGAAATATATTGTGGTTTCATATTTATTCAACAGAAATAATAAAGAAGGCGTCAGCAAAATCACAGAAATTAAATATTCCTATAAAAGGCTATGTTGGCATCTGTGGCTTAGGCGTTGCGAACGCGCTTCATAATCCTGGGTTCTATCGCAGCTGCGGGCCTTGCGTTGGTTTTGACAGTGGTATTGAGAAGCCGACTGTCCAGAAAGCAATGGCAAAGTACTGGACGTAGATTTATTTGCCTAGAAAAACCACAACAGCCAAAACAATGCTGAGGTTGGTTCTGCAACGACCTCGTAAAAGGATACGCAACTAACTTTAAAAAGCTATAAGTTACAGCTTATTTTCTTGACTTCCTGAATGCAGAAATCGCTGATTATGTCATTAAAATATATAATGCATAATATATCGCTTTCGATCCATATGATGCTAAGAGAAGATTTTGTGTTTGAGACATGGTTGCTCAGTTCCATTTTTGATCCCATGGGCTGGAGCTTCCTTGGCTCCCAGGTCAACTCAACTTTGAGTGTGTACCAGATGCAGTCCTGGGAAGTAAATGGGGCTGGTGTGATGTTGACAACATCATCCCCCAAGTGCCGATTGGTCAATGAAGTAAAGGTCTAGCCCTATATATGCCCATTAGCCTGAAGACGTGAAAAGCATCTTATACCTTATTGTACCTTTTTGTTTATTTTTTGCCCGATACACAACTGATGCTAAAAAAAAAGGTCTGTTTCTGCTTGTCTTACTTTACAATGAGCCTTTGGTATGATAAATTTCCTTTACTTTTTAAATTTTAGTTAAACCAAATCAAGCCTTACAAAAACCACAATTTATAAATGTTTTTTTTTTTCAGATCTGATAAAACCTTTTTTTAGACATACTAAAGCAGGTAAGAATTATACTTGTGTATTTTGTTATTCAAAATAGTCAGTTTTACAAATGTACTTGTCTTGAACAGTGACAGAAAAATTAGAAAATATAATTTGCTGAGATGAGAGCACTAAAAATATCAAAAAAAGAGAAAATCAGAAATGATGAGATCCTAAAGAAAGTGGGAGTAGTAGCAGTGCAAGATTTTTATGTGGAAAACAACAAGTGAAATGGTTCAACCATTTCACTTGGCTTTAAGCAGACAGTATACCACAGTGAGCAATAGTGTACAGACCAAGTAAAAAGCAAAAGCGAGGCACCCCATTCAAAAAAATTCTTAATTTAAAATTCCTTGGCTGCTGGAAATCAGAAAGAAATCCTCAGGCTCACGACTCCCATGTCTGCGCTGCACTAAATCCTTAGGCTTACGACACTCCTGTCTACACTGATCTAAATCCTCAGGCTTACGACACTCCTTTCTACACTGATCTAAATCCTCAGGTTCACGATCTCTCTGTCTACACTGACCTAAATCCTCAGGCTCATGACCCTCCTGTCTACACTGAGCTAAATCCTCAGGCTTACGACCCTCCTGTCTACACTGACCTAAATCCTCAGGTTCATGACCTTCCTGTCTTCACTGACCTAAATCCTCAGGTTCATGACCTTCCTGTCTACACTGAGCTAAATCCTCAGGCTTACGACCCTCCTGTCTACACTGACCTAAATCCTCAGGTTCATGACCTTCCTGTCTTCACTGACCTAAATCCTCAGGTTCATGACCCTCCTGTCTACACTGAGCTAAATCCTCAGGCTTACGACCCTCCTGTCTACACTGACCTAAATCCTCAGGTTCATGACCTTCCTGTCTACACTGACCTAAATCCTCAGGTTCATGACCTTCCTGTCTTCACTGACCTAAATCCTCAGGCTTAGGACCCTCCTGTCTTCACTGACCTAAATCCTCAGGCTCATGACCCTCCTGTCTATACTGACCTAAATCCTCAGGCTCATGACCCTCCTGTCTATACTGACCTAAATCCTCAGGCTCATGACCCTCCTGTCTTCACTGACCTAAATCCTCAGGCTTGTGGCCCTCCTGTCTATACTGGCCTAAATCCTCAGGCTTGTGGCCCTTCTGTCTTCACTGACCTAAATCCTCAGGTTTATGATTTCCCTGTCTACACTGACCTAAATCCTCAGGCTCGTGACCCTCCTGTCTTCACTGACCTAAATCCTCAGTCTCATGACCCTTCTGTCTTCACTGACCTAAATCCTCAGGTTTATGATTTCCCTGTCTTCACTGACCTAAATCCTCAGGCTTGTGACCCTCCTGTCTTCACTGACCTAAATCCTCAGGCTCATGACCCTCCTGTCTTCACTGACCTAAATCCTCAGGTTCACGACCCTCCTGTCTACGCCGCCCTAACAAGCGGAAAATACAGATAATCCTGACATAAGTTCCAGCATAACCATGCACACTGAGACCATCAGTGGTGCTACGGAGTTTGTGTACTGGGTTGATATTCCCTTCTGTGATCTAAACAGAGGTAACTTTAACACTTATAATAAATATTTGTAGCAAGTATAGTTCTGGCATAAATACATACACACGTTAAGATCACCACAGGTGCTGCAGAGTTTGTTTGCTGTGTTGAGACCTCCTTATTGATCTGTGAGAGCGCTTGGCAAATAAAATATGTTTGATACGCAGCAAGAAAACCTTAACTGAAAACCAGTATGGAGATTATGGTGGCTGGATCCCCCTGTGGGATCTAGGGCCTCATTTCAGGTGATACAGAAGCAGCCTCACTGCTCCTTAACATGGCAACTAATTAAAGGTTTGCTGAATTCTAAAACAGCCTCATTGCCCTTTAACATGGTGACTAAATAAAGGTTTGCTAAATTCTAAAACAGCCTCATTGCCCCTTAACAGGGTGACTAACTAAAGGTTTGCTGAATTCTAAAACAGCCTCATTGCCCCTTTACATGGTGACTAAATAAAGGTTTGCTGAATTCTAAAACAGCCTCATTGCCCCTTTACATGGTGAATAAATAAAGGTTTGCTGAATTCTAAAACAGCCTCATTGCCCCTTAACACAGCGACTAATTAAAGGGTTGCTGAATTCTAAAACAGCCTCATTGCCCCTTAACATGGTGACTAAATAAAGGTTTGCTGAATTCTAAAACAGCCTCATTGCCCCTTTACATGGTGAATAAATAAAGGTTTGCTGAATTCTAAAACAGCCTCACTGCCCCTTAACACAGCGACTAATTAAAGGGTTGCTGAATTCTAAAACAGCCTCATTGCCCCTTAACATGGTGACTAAATAAAGGTTTGCTGAATTCTAAAACAGCCTCATTGCCCCTTAATAGGGCGAGTAACTGAAGGTTTGCTGAATTCTAAAACAGCCTCATTGCCCCTTTACATGGTGACTAAATAAAGGTTTGCTGAATTCTAAAACAGCCTCATTGCCCCTTAACATGGTGACTAAATAAAGGTTTGCTGAATTCTAAAACAGCCTCATTGCCCCTTTACATGGTGACTAAATAAAGGTTTGCTGAATTCTAAAACAGCCTCATTGCCCCTTAACACAGTGACTAATCAAAGGTTTGCTGAATTCTGATATAAAGACCGACCCATGCTGGACTGCAACAATGCAATGAATGGCAGAGAAGTATATATATAAATTTTGTGGACTTTGAGAAAGCTTTTGACAGCGTCCATAGAGTCAGTTTATGGAAAATTTTACGACATTATGGAATTCCAGAAAAAATAGTCAACATAATTGCTCTCTTCTGTAAAGACTACACAGCACAGCAGAAATGGTGGGACTGAGAATAAATACAAAGAAAACTAAGATCATGACAAGCAGCCCAAACCAACAACCAGTGACCATAAATAACCAAACTCTTGAAAATGTCGAACATTTCACATATCTTGGCAGTGTGGTGTCCCTGCCGGGAGGGACCGAAGAGGACATACAGTCACGTCTGAACAAAGCTAGAGCTGCTTTTGGAAGGATGAGGCAAATATGGAAATCCAACAATTACTGCAGAGGAGCGAAACTCCGACTCTACAAGAGCATCATTTTGCCAGTTCTTCTTTATGGAGCAGAATGCTGGAGAATGACCAAAAAGGATGCACACACGCTGTCCACCTTCCACCACACATGTCTACGTAGAATTATCAAAATTTTCTGGCCAGATACAATCTCAAACACTAAACTACTTCAAGTCACAAACCAAGAAACTTTAGACAGTATGATAACCAAGAGAAGATGGAAATGACTTGGCCACAATATGAGAATGAATCCTGATATACCCGCCAAAACAGCTTTCACACGGACACCAGAGGGAAAGAGAAAACAGGTGCGCCCAAAAACAACATGGAGACGAACGATGGAAAGTGACCTGAGTGCTGCATCTTTGACATGGAAAACTCTCTGAAGCCTCATGTGCCACTAGGCATAACGAGAACTGATATATGATGCTGGACTGCAGGTTACTTTGTAAATGTGCCCCGGTATAACTGCATTGTACGGCTGTACAGTTCAGTGGGGTTTCGGGGATTTGTACCTGTTTGATTCTCATCCTTGAGATGTTAATCCTATGGACTGCAATCGTGGAAGGGGGGAAAACTCAGTTTAAAAGAATGTTAAGCCCACAGGAGACTTCCTTAACAGAGTCTGTTAGACTGCACCATCATGTAGGAATGCATAGTGCTAGAGATCTGTTACAGTACACCCTCCTTGAGAAGTTGGCAGCTGATGTTTTTTTTTTCTTTTCTTCTTGTTCTGCTGTCCTCAGTCTCTCACTAGAACAAAGGGACTTAACCTACTCCTACCATGCCATTTGCATACCTTTCATGATTAGTTGGATTTAGCAGGTAAAGTTTTCTGCCGGACGAGGTGGCTGATCTCATGCCAACACTCATTGGTTGCCTTCTATGACATACTCCTGGTAGGTTACAAGGTTCCGCCTATTAGGATTCCAGGCCTACATGGGGGGGGGGGGGGGGGGGGGGGGGGGCTAACAAGCATATCATAAATGGCAATTTATTAGGAATGTGCTGTAACTGAATGTGTTGGGGCTAAAGATGCAGATACCACAAGGTAAACTTAAACACAAATGCTCTTTTAACCTGACACAAAGTAGCCAAAACTACAACTTGGCCGGTCGGTTGGCCTTGTGTAATACAAGCCTTGAGATTGGCTGGCACTTTTCGTACCAGCCAATTAGATTGCTTCTTCATGTGTAGGCTGTTCACTGATGGCTTTTTAAAAAGTTTGATGTGTTCGGGAATTTGACATCAGTTTTTGTCTGGGGTTACCTGTGCCCAAAAATGGCGAAAAGGACTATTGCATCAAAGCAACCGAAACATAGCTGGAGGCAGGAAAATGAGTAGAACCATGTGCCAGAAGTGTCTGAAGGGCCTCCAAGGGCCTTACTTCCCAAAACACAAGTGTTAGGACTTACTCAAGCTTCATCCATCAAAAAATTACCCCACATTTTTTTTTAGGTTAGTCATGTTTTTTCCCCAAGTTTAAAAAAAAAAAATTCTTGCATAAATTATGCAAATCAGAATAGTTAATTTGAATAAATGTTGAAATTTCAGTTTGGTTCATAAATATTCTGTTAGCTCATTTCAGTTTCCTGCATGAAATATATATATATATATATATATATATATATATATATATATATTATATATATATATATATAATATATATATATATATTATATATATATATATATAGTTTTGTATATGTTAATCAATTCCTTTATTTTTTTTAAAATAATTTTGTGTGTATAAACTATGAGAATCCCCTCCTGAAGACTGTCTTTTTGGCACTAAAACTCCAAAACGTCTCCGTCTTCAGAGGGTTAAGGGTAAGTGTAGAAGAAGAAGGGTACCATTCTTTGCTTTCCTTTCAAGCACTAGTAACACATAGGTACATTTATTTTTCATCAAATCTGAATTGTTTTCTCTTGTTTGCCAACAGAAAACATTTCAGTTTACTGTAAATTCCCAATGTCAAAAAGTAAATTATCTTTGTTTGCCATTTCAGCATTTGTACTGGATCATGTGTTATCAGTCCTCATTGTACAGCCCACTTTGTTGCGGATTGTACGTGTCTTTCACATTGGCAGAGTTTTACGACTGATTAAAGCAGCTAAAGGCATTCGGAAACTTCTCTTTGCCATTATCATATCCCTACCTGCTGTATTCAACATTGGAGCTTTGCTTTTCATGATCATGTTTGTTTATGCCATAATTGGCATGTCTTTATTTGGCACTGTGAGACTGACTGGTGTCTTCAATGAAATAGTCAACTTCCGGACTTTTGGCAACAGCTTTATGCTGCTACTTCGCCTGTCAACCGCAGCAGGCTGGAACGACGTACTTGAGGCTTTATTGGTCAAGGAACCTTATTGTAATCCCAAACATTTTACTTTACCCGATAATACCACTAGACATTCATCTCATGGGGACTGTGGGATACCTTACCTGGCAATACCTTACATGGTCAGTTACATTATCCTGGTGTGGCTGATTGTGGTGAACATGTACATTGCAGTGCTTCTGGAAAACTTCAACCAGGCTCATGTGCAGGAGGAAGTGGGCATTACCGAAGATGACTTTGACATGTTTTACACCGTCTGGGAGAAGTACGACCCATTTGCCACACAGTTCATCAAGTATGAACAGCTTCCAGATTTTGTTGGCGACTTAGACCCGCCCCTTCAGATCCCACGACCCAATGAAATAACACTGGTGACGTTCAATATTCCTATACTGGAAGGAGAAAAGATGCATTGTTTAGATGTTTTAATTGCTCTGGTAAAATATGTACTCTCCGAAGTGGAAGAGACGCATGAGTTAAGATCCCTGAAGAAACAGATCGAGGCGAAGTTTTTTGAACGTTTTCCAGCTCGATATAACATAGTGGTGAAATCAACGACCCTGCAGAGGAAGAAGGAAGATGTTGCAGCTAGAACTCTTCAGAGGTCTTGGCGGAGTTATAAGGCTCAAAGAGCCATGCAGAGCATTACAGCTTACGCTCGGAAACAAAAGATTCTACGAGCGGCTTACAGTGGTTCCCGACCATTCACCAGCACCATGATTGACCTCAGCCGCAGACTCGAGCTGGCCCTGAACAAGTTCTTTCTCGTTCAGAAGGACATGTGGGATTTATCGGAGTCTTACTGCCCAACCCCTTTTAACGTTAATTAAGTAAGCAGCTTACAGCGAATCAGTTTACTGCTCTTGTGGCTCAGTTAACCCAAAACCAGCGGCACAACGCCATGGTCCCCAGGGATTGACGGTTGCCTGTTACTACTTCATGATGATAATGAAACAAAAGTCACTTTTAAATTGTTGAGTACCAAAAGGTCACAGCTGCTGCCAGAGTGAGACAGGGTACTTTATTATTATTCTATCCCAGATGATGTCACAGGACAGTCCAACATTTTAGAGGGTGATAAGACTGGGTTTCCCGGCTTTCTGATGCTTTTATCAACCCCAAAACATCTAGAACTGGCCCTAACCCCAACTCACCTATGTTCCACGAGAGGGTGCAGTATAGGTCCCATGACTGCATGAGGCCTATCTACCACCCCCTAAAATATTAAACTGTTCCATGACCTGTGGATTTCCCCTGTCTGGGGTAGTATATTAATAAAGCACCGTGAGACAGTAATGAAAACAACAATATCATAGGTGTACTATATCCACGGGGGCTAAGTACAAATCACTAGTAAGAAATAACAATTTCAGTGTGTGTGCATATATATATACACACACACACACGTATATATGTGTGTGTCTATGTATGTAAAATAATAAACAGATTGACACATATTGACTTGTACTCACATTAAAAAAATATTAGTTTCTGCTCTGTAATCCTTATATCTCCCTCGACACCTAAAGCGGTAAAAGAGGACGTAAAGAAGAAGTCAGCCCAGACTAAATAAAAGATATACAAACAAAATAACATGCTGAATAGTACATGTGTATAATACTGAGTCACACTGGTGTTTTTACTGCTTAAAGTTCAGGCATATAGGGCACTTGGCGAATGATGTGGTCAGCATCAAGTCGGCCGCCTTTACTTCCTAGGACTCCACCTGGTACCCATGTAAGGCAGGGTTAAATGGGAGCCAGGGTCATTTTTTAAAAAAAGGCAGATACCGCCAGGACCCGAACCCACCACCTCCCGATCTGCAGGCGAGCGTCTAGCCACTACACTATGGCTGCTGCCTTAGTTCTTAAAGAATTACATAATTTTGATTGTATGGCCTAAGTATGTTTATGGTTTTTGAATGGATACTTCAGTTAACAATCTTCATATTACAACGAAACTACCCCCATGTGGATTCTGGGGCGCCATTGTAGGGAAAACAAGAATAGACCCACTGCTTGCCCAAAAGCATGTCCTAAGAGTCGACTAATTGAGAGCTTCCTTCGAAGTCAGAGTACATCTGCCTGTGAGGCAAGGAACCAGCAGTCTGCATGCAAATAACTCAGACCTTTGAAACGGATGTACAGGCAACACTCAGTTTCTGGAACAGGGCTCTAGTCCAGAAGGGGATGAACAACCAGAACTTTTCCGCTGGAGTTTACAGCCGGCGAACAGGAAGAAGAAGAAGACAGTGAAACTTCAGTAATGAATTTCAAGGGGCCGAAATATAAAGAATAAAATTCCTGCTAACTGGGGACTAATAGATGTATTATGAATAATACATCCCTGCTGGTACTAACATTTTGGTGATGTTAACTGAATGTTCATCTTGAGGTTTTACTGTACTAGAAATAGTTTAATGAACCCTTTGCCCACCTGGGACAATAGGTTTCTTTCTGTAGCTATATGGTTCCCTAATATAATTGTTTTATATAACTGAATATAAATTACTGATATCAGGAGGAGAATCGGCACAGAACCAATACCGAACTTTATAGGTAGACAACAAATCAAATGGTTTGACCGTGTACCAAGATTGGCAGCAGACAGCACCACAGAGAGCATTGTTATGCAAATACAGTGGTAACAGAGCCAGAGGTCAACCACACAGAAGATGGACCGCAGAAATATCAGAGACATTGAAAAGTACTAGATAGTACTAGATATCTCTTCCTCCCCTGACACCCGAGGCATTCCAGGAGTAGAGAAAAGAAGAAGATATGACTGAATGGAGTATCTGGGATTTGTTTTGTTAGCTTGACATCATAAAAGTTGCTCTTCAAGTGACTGAGTGTCAAGCATACAGGTTGAAGGGGCGTGATAACTGTTTTGTGTGTGTGTGTGTAGGTTTTTTAATCCTTATTATGTAATAATGCTGTGAATAGCATTATAACATGCTTTGCTAACTTCTGTGTGGTCTGGTCCTGTTTAACACATTCAGGTTCTTATTTGAGTCAATTTGCACTAAACCACCATAGCTTGTGAACATCACAATATGTGGTTGTGACAAAATAGTGCAAGGTAGAAGTTCAAACCCACAAGACACAATGCCTTTTCAGGAGATCATCACAAACCAGCGCCGGCATTTATTGTCCGCCTGTAGTTTTTCTAGGCAGCTTCAACTTTACTGGTTTGCCATTGCTTTCTGAATGCCACAAGAACATTCTTGAACACTCCCCGAAGCTTAGTACTGGACAAGCAACAACAAAAAAGATAATGCTGCTGGAGAATGAAGATCATCACTGGGGGGAAACACAGATAATGAAACTGTAAAATCAAGCCCAGAATAAATTAGAACAAGAGACTGAAACTGAGGTGAAAGCTTGTGGCACCAAAAAACACAAAGATAATTAAACTGAAATGACATACACAGTACAAATAATGAAAATATTTCACTGGTGAAGTATAAGTACTTGAAGAGAAGTTAACTAATTGCATATCCTCTACAGGATGTTACAGAACCAACTCCATCATTTGTTGGCTGTTTTTGGTTTAACTACGTGATTTTACATTCTGTAGTCTGCCATTGCTTGCTTAACCTTTGGCTCTGCCGGGCTCTCTAGTGTAGTTGGCTAAACCGGATTGCACGGTGACCGGGTGACGAACTCCTTCGGGGTAGGCAGAAAAGCCACATTTCTCCTAGATTTACAGTATTTACAATGGAATCAAGGCCGAAAGGTTGCGATATCCATAATACCGAGCCTAAGGGTTAACAACTCATGGCTTCTGGATACTAAAACAAACAAACAACATTTGGCTCTTGATACCCCTGTCAAGATCAATGCAGGGCATTCTGCTGCCAGATCACCCTGGAATTGAACCGGGCACCTTGGAATTGAACCGGGCACCTTGGAATTGAACCGGGCACCTTGGAATTGAACCAGGCACCTTGGAATTTAACCATGCAACTCGGAATTAAGAAACCTTTTCACAGTGCCTGAGCAACAGGTGCTGACAAAGAAGAATGCCAACAGTATTAGGATAAGGCGCTTGAATATCATGAATTCACATCTTAAATTATTGAACAACCACATTCAAATACCTGCTACCATTAAAGAACAAATGCTCAACCAAAAATACTCTTTATTTCCCAATAGTTAACACCATTACAGCTAAGATCAGTTTCTAAAACACTGGGTATGTAGCAGTGATATTCTAAACTAATGGTTACATGGCGCTTGAAACATGGCGTAATACATCAATTTAATTACGGTGCGCAAATAATTTATTTCAAGAAGTCTACAGTCGATAAACATACACCCTGTATTTTTCCCATGTGGGTTCCGGGGCCCTATTGTGGATAAAAAGTAGTAGACTCACTGCCTTCCTAACATGTGTGTCATAAGAGTCGACTAATTTGGTGTTTCCTTTGAAGTTGGAGAGCATCTGCCTGAGAAGCAAGGGACCAGCAGCCTGCACACAAAAAGCCATGTCTGTAAAACTGATGTGCATGCAAAACTCACATTCTAGAACAAGACTAAGTTCTAGAAGTGAACAAACAAGAACTTTTCGGTGGAGTCAACACTTTGCTGTCTCAGAATGTGTCAGTGTTGGCAGATGTTAAAATAACTAGTCAGTCAGTGTGGTTATGTGTGGAAGTGTGAGAGCTAATGTGAAGCTAGCAATAGCTTGTCAGCCAGTGTGTTTATATGTGGAAGTGTGAGAGCAAATTGGAAGCTAGCTATCGTCAGCCAGTGTGTTTGTGTTTGGAAATGTAAGAGCAAATTGGAAGCTAGCTATCATCAGCCAGTGTGTTTGTGTGTGGAAGTGTGAGAGCAAATGGGAAGCTAGCTAAAGCTAGTCAGCCAGTGTGTTTGTGTGAAAGTGTGAGAGCAAATTGGAAGCTAGCTATCGTCAGCCAGTGTGTTTGTGTGTGGAAGTGTGAGAGCAAATGGGAAGCCAGCTAAAGCTAGTCAGCCAGTGTGTTTGTGTGAAAGTGTGAGAGCAAATTGGAAGCTAGCTATCGTCAGCCAGTGTGTTTGTGTGTGGAAGTGTGAGAGCAAATGGGAAGCCAGCTAAAGCTAGTCAGCCAGTGTGTTTGTGTGAAAGTGTGAGAGCAAATTGGAAGCTAGCTATCGTCAGCCAGTGTGTTTGTGTGTGGAAGTGTGAGAGCAAATGGGAAGCTAGCTAAAGCTAGTCAGCCAGTGTGTTTGTGTGAAAGTGTGAGAGCAAATAGGAAGCTAGCTATGGTCAGCCAATGTGTTTGTGTGTAGAAGTGTGAGAGCAAATGTGAACAAAATTAGCTATAGCTAGTCAGCCAATGTGTTTGTGTGTAGAAGTGTAAGAGCAAATGTGAACAAAATTAGCTATAGCTAGTCAGCCAATGTGTTTGTGTGTAGAAGTGTAAGAGCAAATGTGAACAAAATTAGCTATAGCTAGTCAGCCAATGTGTTTGTGTGTAGAAGTGTAAGAGCAAATGTGAACAAAATTAGCTATAGCTAGTCAGCCAATGTGTGTGGAAGCGTGGAAGCCAAGACTCTTAAAACATTACTCTTGGGCCAATATTTTGAATTAAGGGAATCGTCACAGGCCAGGCGCCCCAATTCCAGCATAGAAAGATCATTAATACAGTTGCCAGTGATCTGCAGGCCACCAGCTGAATAGCCCTGGTGTAAGCAAATGTGAAGAAAACCAGCTAATGTGTGGAAGTGAATGTGAAGGAATCCAGCTTTAGCTAGTCAGCCAATGTGCTTGTGTGTGGAAGTGAATGTGAAGGAATCCAGCTTTAGCTAGTCAGCCAATGTGCTTGTGTGTGGAAGTAAATGTGAAG